TCCAAGGATCTGTCTCTCCTGGCCATGGGCCCAAAGTATGTAAAACATAGCTTCAAAATCCTAGCCTCCTGCTGTTACCAAGGGTGTTAAGTATAGATCCAAGCAAGACGAAGTTGTTGGCAGTTTACCTGTCATGATGTTGCCTATCCATTCAGTGGTAAGAATCTTTGCCTTCTTGACATTGGGATGTAATCCACATTGAAGACTATATTCTTTGGTTCTCTGTAACAAATGCTTGCAGCCCTCCACACTTTCAGCAAATAAGGTTGTAGTATCATCTGCATAACACAAGTTATTAATGAGTCTCCCTCTGATCCTGATGCCATACTCCTCTTCAAAGAATCCAACTTCTCGAATAATTTGCTCAGTATACATATAGAAAAGGTGTGGAGAGAGAATACAATCTTGACACATTCCCTTCCTAATTTTAAATCATGCAGTGTTCCCCTGCTCTGTTGGCACAGTTATGTTCATGTGTTCACATGAGCACAATTAAGTGCTCTGGGATTCCCATTTTTCTCAGTGTCAGCCACAACTTGTTATGATCCACACAGTCAAATGCCTTTGTATAGTTAACAAAGCATAAATAAACATTCTTCCGGTATTCTTTACTTTAAACCAGAATCCATTTGACATCAGCAATGATATCCCTGGTGCTATGGTTTCTTCTAAATCTTGCTTGAACTACTGTTCTAGCCATTATTGAAGGATCTTCAGTAGATTTTGCTTACACTTAATATTAATTATATTATTCAATAGTTTCCACATTCAGTTGGATCACCTTTCTCGGACAGGGGAAAAAATACGGACCTTTTCCAATCCATTGGTCAGGCAGATGTCCTCCAAAATACCTGGCATAGACTGGTGAGCACATCCAGGGTTGACTCTGTCAAATGAAACAGATGTAAAAGAGCTGAACAGAAGATTTCAAAGGGTAGTTCAAGAAGACAAAGCAAAGTATTATAATGGAATGTGCAGGGAGCCAGAATTGGAAATAAAAAGGGAAGAACTCTCTCTGCATTTCTCAAGCAATGAGAACTGAAAAACAAATTTAAGCTTTAAGTCACAATATTGAAAGATGCTAAAGGCATTATATTAAATGGTCCAGAAAGCATTAAACAAAGACGGAGAGAATACAAAGAATCACTGTACCAAAACAACTAACGGACACTGAAAATTTTCAGGAAATACCATATGAACAGGAGCCAATGGTAATGAAGGAGGAAGCAGAAGCTGCATTGAAGGCATTGGCAAAAAATAAGGTCCCAAGAATCGCTGGAACACCAATTGACTTGGTTCAAGATTTTAACTTTAAGGAAACAAAAATCCTTAAAACTGGACCAATGAACAGCATCATGATAAATACAGGAAAGATTAAAGTTATCAATTATTTCATTTTACTAGGACACACAATCAACATTCATGAAGGCAGCAGTCAATAAATCAAAAGTGCACAATTGTACTTTAGTGAGGATGTCACTCTTTTTTTTCACTTGAGTGGAGCTTAAAAAATTATATTGTTTTTTCATACAATAATTCATAGACATTTTGTTTTATAACACAAATTTATTGATTGTTGTTATTGTTGTTGTTGATTGCCTTCGAGTTGAGCATGACTCATAGTGACCCTATGGACAAAAGGCCTGAAGCCCCTCTACAGCTATCGACATTTGTCGAAGTTCATAGAGTTTCTGGAGGCATGTTGTTTAGGAAGTGGATGCCACTCCTGCTTCCAAGCTACTGATTAATAGGATGAATTAATTAATTACAGTGTTTTCAACCTCTTTTTTCTGTACTAATTTTCCTTTTGATAAATTTAACTATTTACTGATTTATTTTCTCTTCCCTTCCCTCCCTTTCTATACCTATTATCCCTCCAAGATTGATTCTATATGTATGTAAAGCTTTTTTTAAACTTTTTTAGATTAGTGTTCTTACACTATTGTCTTTTTGTGAATAACTTATGTCACCGAGCATAATGTTTTTTAGAATTATTCATGTTATATAGTGTTTCATGAAATCTTCATTGTTTTTCAATGCTTCCTATCACTCCTTTATACGAATATACCATAGCTTCTCTGTTCATTCACTGATGGCCTCTTGGGTTGTTTTCAACTCTTTGCTATTGTAAATAAAACATGAATGTGCTTATGTCAGTCTGTGACACAACTCCTATTTCTTAGGGATATATGTTGTTGTTGTTGTGTACCATCAAGTTGCCTTTGCTCATAGAGACCCTGTGTACAGCAACCCTAAACCCTATTCTATCTTCTGCCAATCTTTATTGTCTCTGACACACCTACCCCCACTCACTGAATCAATCCATCTCATCTAGGATCTTCCTCTTTTGCTCTGTCCTTCCAAACTCTCAAGCATGATATCCCTCTCCAAAGACTGGTCCCTCTTTGCAACATGTCCAAAGTATGTCAGATGAAGCTTCAGAATCTTCACCTCCAAGGGGAAACCTGGTCTCACAGTCACAACGAACTGTGGCTGACTCTGAGAAGAATGGGAATCCCAGAACACTTGACTGTGCTTTTGTAAAACCTATACTTGGACCAGGAGGCAGTCGTCAGAACAGAGCAAGGAAACACTGCATGGTTCAAAATCAGGAAGGGTGTATGCCAGGGATGTGTCCTATCTCTATACCTTTTCAATCTATATGCAGAACAGATCATCCAGGAGGCTGAGCTCTATGAGAAGAAATGTGGCATCAGGATTGGAGGAAGGCTCATCAATAATCTGGGTTATGCAGATGACACAACCTTGCTTGCCGAAATTAAGGAGGACCTGAAACGCTTACTGTAGAAGGTCAAGGACTGCAGCTTTCAATATGGATTGAAGCTCAGCATCAAGAAAACAAAGATTCTCACCACTGGGCCAATCATCTCTCATGATAGATGGTGAAGAGATTGAGATTGTTAACAGCTTCAGTTTGCTTGGCTCCACAATCAACACTCTTGGTACCATCAGCCAGGACATTAAAAGACAAATTGCATTAGGTAAGTCTGCTGTCAGAGACCTCTCCAAAGTACTGAAGAGCAAAGGTACGTCTGGAGACTAAAGTGTACCTCATTCAGGCCATAATCTTTTTAATTATTTTCTATGCATCAGAAAGCTAGATGATAAGTAGGGATAATAGAAGGGAAATTGATACCTTTGAGCTCAGGTGCTGGAGAAGAGTATTGAAAATACCTAAAGATGTATACCTACATATAAGATTGGATAGGAATTAAATGGTAGGGAGGGGCTGAAGAAAATGGAAGGATCCAGCAGAGACCTGAAAAGACTGAGTAATGATGGACACCTATGGTGATTTATTTTATAAAGCATAATGCATGGGAATGATTGTAAGAAACACAATGTGAATGAAGAATAGTGTGAAACATTATTTAATACAAATATGTAAGTAAACCAATATAAAATAAAAAAAATTTTTTAAGAATTGAATGGTATTTCTATTCTTAGCTTTCTAAAGAAGCACCAAACTGCTTTACATAGTGATTGCACCATTTTACATGTTTGAGAGGTCTAAACTCTCCACAGCCTTTCTTGGTTGCTGTCTTATTGAACTTTCCTGTTGTTTCTGGTGTGAAATTGTTGTTTTCATTTGAACATGCAAATGGCACAAACTTCCTTGCTGAACGTGAGGAGGAGTTGAAACACTGGCTACAGAGGGCCAAGGATTACAGCCTAGGTTACATCTTAATATCAACAACATTCCTACTTCTGGGGAAATAAGCAAGAAAAGGAGATAGAAATTGTCAACGACTTCATCCTGTTCAATTGTTTGACAGTAGCAGCCAGAAACTCAAAACACTTGTTGCATTGGGAAAGTCTAGAGTAGGAACCTCTCTAAAATGCTCACGAGGAAGCCTTCCTATCTGTCTTCAAGAACACCTGATCCAAACCATGCTCTTTTCTATTACTTGCAGCACATTTGAGAGTTGGACAATGGATAAAAATGACAGAAGAATTGAGGTTTTTGAGTTGTGGTGCTAGAGAAGAGCACTAAATATGTTGGATCGAAAAACTTCATCTCACACATTCTGGGCATCTTGTTAGGAGGGGCAAGTCCCTGGAAAAGGACAATATGTTGGGGAAAGTGGAGGATCAGCAAAGGAGGGGAACCCTCCAGAGCTGGATTGACACAGTGGGTTCACGTGTGGCAGAGATGATAAGGTTGGCACCAGACAGAGCAAGGTTGAGATCCATCGCTGCGAGTCCTAGTCAACTCAAGGGCCCCTAAAAACAACTCCACCCCAAATAATAACTCATGAAATTCTCAAGGCCGCTTAGGGTAGGGATACCTTCTTTTCTGTCTTTTTGTACAATTCACAACGTCTCTAACACAATCTGTTCCACAAAGAAGAAATTTAATAAACACTTGCAGGACAAAGGCAGAGTCCAAATATTATGTAGTAAGAACTGTTCTGTTCAAAAACTCACTTTCAAGAACCCATATTTAAAGGAGCTCTGGTGGCCTAGTGGCAAGAAGCTGCACTGCAATCCCAAAAAGTCCTTATTTTCAGATATAACACAGAGGACCTATAATACAGTGTGACCTGTGTTTCTACAAGACAAAATTTAAATTAAAGACAGGCTATTAATTTTTAATTTCACCTTTACTTCCTGTCTATTAGTTGATAAGAAGGCTTAACGGTTAAAGCTACTAGCTGCACAATCAGTGACCTCTCTCTGGAACAAAAAGGCAGCAGTCCGCTTCCATAAGCATTTTCCGCCTCGGACAGTTCTACTCTGCCCTATAAGGTTGCCTTGAGTTGGAACGGATGGTGGAATTGAGTTGGAGGATGGTGGAGGGGTGGACGGTGGACGGGATAGTTGTTTCATAGTCCTTTTTTTCCTCCTTCTCACCCTGGAAGGATTTGGAAATTCGGTGTTTGGTAAGAGGGACTGTGAAAGAGGAAAGGTCCTAGGAGCACCGCTGTGTTTCAGGCAGCAGGCAGCCTGGGCCCGGGGACGCGCGCCGCGTTTCCATGGAAACAGCCAGGTCGGCGCGGCGGCGCGCGGGGCGGGCTCTCCAGCTCCCGCGACGTTGGCGGCGGCTCGCGCCCCAGCGCGCGCCTGGGCGCCTTGGAGCCCCGCCGTTGGGTCCTGCCCAGGGTCCGCGGCCCAGCGTGAGGCAAGATGTTGAGGCGCAGCCTGGAGAACCGGTAACAGCCCCGGGGCCCCGCCGCCCTGCGCCCCGCACACGCGAGGCCTCCGCTAGGGGACGCCGTCTTCGGCCCGGGCCTGCGGGTGCCGGCCCGCTGCGCTCGGTGGCCTAGCTGCCGGGACGGGAGGAGCGCCGGCGGCCGGAGAAAGGCCTGGCAAGGCCGCCGCGGCCGCCCACCGCTCCCAGACCGTGGTCCCCGCGCTGCCGTGGGCCGTGCAGAGCCGGAAAGGCCGCTGGCTCCGCGCCTCGGCGGGCGTCCGGGCCTGGGACGCAGGGCGGTTCCCCGCACCCCCCACCCTGCATCCTCCCATCCAGCCTCTATTTTGTGCCTGTTTAGCCGGGACTTGAGTCCAGGCCGGGAATGGGCCCGCATGGAGGGGAAAGGGACGGGTTTGCGCGAAATTGCAGTGAGGAGGCTGCTACCCACGTGATGGTTGAATTTTAGATGGGTGTGCGCCTTGATAGCGGCAAAGTGCCCCGGGAATGTTCGTATGTTAACGTAACGATGACGCGATCTCACCTCCAACAAGAATGTTGTGCGGTTTTGGTGTCACCTCTTTTCTCTAGGGACGCTCAAACCAGACAACTGCAAGATGCTGTCACGAATGTGGAGAAGCATTTTGGAGAGCTGTGCCAAATCTTTGCTGCGTATGTGCGCAAAACTGCCAGACTGCGAGACAAAGCGGACCTGCTGGTGAATGAAATCAACGTGTACGCCTCGACAGAGACCCCCCAATTAAGACAGGGCCTGAAAAACTTTGCTGATGAGTTTGCCAAACTTCAGGATTATCGACAGGCAGAGGTACGGAGTGAGGTCACAGCGTCTTTGTTTTCAATGAGCCCCGAAGTAGTGGATGAAGAAGACTGTGACGCGCTGTCTACCTTACCACAGCAGTGAACCCACTCTTGATGATAAACGTACAGATTTTCTTGCCTGTAACACGGTGTGAGTCTGTTAGAAGGACCTGTCAGTGATTTATTATACCATTTCAAACCAAAGTCTAGTGTCTCTTGAAGTCGTGAATTTGAAACCACGGCGTTTGCCAGGTTTTGGCCATTTACAGGGGATGGTAAGCTTAGTTTCCAAGGGGAACTGAAGAAGCATGACTTGTGTCTAGTGTTCATGTAAGTATATTTTAAAGGGTGACTGGAGATGCAAGATGTTGGGAATGGTATGTGAATAAAGAAAACAAACAAAGAGCTTCTATGTTCTGGACTTTTGACAAATGTTTCATGGACCAAAAAAGAAGAAAAGCACTGAGAAAAACCAATATTTAAGCAGTAGTTACTTTCATACCTGTGTTGACTCATTTATGGCAACTCCATCGGTATCCAGGTCCATAGAATTTTCAGTGGCTGAATTTTTTTGTAAGATTGCCAGGCAGTCTTCTGAAGTACCTTTCAATGGATGCAAACTGTCAACTTTCCTCATTACTTTTCTGTGTTAGCTATTTGTAATGGCTAGTGAGGCTGCATTTGTGAGTTTGGTCTATTTTGTTTGGGATGGGGTTCCCACCCCTTTTTGATGAGATAGTAACTTTAATTGCTTTCTTTCAGAAAGACCTTCACTATTTCATAACAATTTTGTTTTAATTATTTAAGGTTCAGGACAAATTGGCTTGTCAAAAGTTGCCCAGTTAAAACGCTGGATTTCCGGGGTGGGGGGGGTGCTAATTAAAAAAATGTTTTTCATCAGTGCTTTTGTCCTTTTTTTAAAACTAAAACAGTCATTTCAATTAACTATGTAAGTATAATGAGAATAAGAACCTTTGAACCTGTAAATGCTGTCTATACAGAATAGGAACTAAAAACTCAGATATTTTAAAGGTAACTAAATTGGAACACTTTTGGAGACAATATGACATTTCTTTTGTAACAAGCAAAGCACTCTTGGTTCTGTATGATAACTGTTAATGTTTTTTTAAAAGATTTGTATTTTAATGGTCTTAACATTCCCCTTTAGTAAATAATTAGAAAACCTTTATGCTATTTATCAAATAGCAAATTAGATTGATTTATATTTATTCTTTTATTTCCCTTGCTTACCAATTGTTGGAGGTGCTAATGACAAATGAAATGAACCAAAGGTAGGCAACAGAATAGGAGAACAGAATAGATAATCCTGCCACTGAACAATCAGTGTCTGGATTATTATAAATTATACAGACTCACCTATCCTAAATATTCATGGTTTTGAGGCTTCTTGTTGTTACTGTTATTAGGTGCCATCAAGTTGAGTATGACTGATAACAACCCTATGACCTGAACCCTGTTCTATCCTGCACCTTCCCCACACTTCCTGACACATAAGCTCATGGTAACAGTCACTGTGTCAGTCCACCTAGTTGAGGAGGCTGGGACTCCTAATATTTAAATGATTGATAAAGATTTGATCTTTTCAGTTTTTCTAAAATCTTTAAAAATGAAACATGTACATTTTGCTTTATAGGAACTAAAAAGTCAGTATTAAAAGAAGTATTTTGACTAGTTATATAAGCAGGTATCATTTAAAAAGCCCTTTTTTCCTGCTTTACAAATAATGAATGTTTAAACAACTAATTATATACTGTCTTACATTCATTATCCTGAAAGAAGAAAAAAGTTTATGTCCAAGGAAGCATATAGTAATGCTATATACTTGTCTTTTAAAAAATCTATTCTTTGTTCCCTTTCACTAATGACACTAGGAGGAGAAAGAACTTTTCCAAATATGAAAGAAACTGACATTTAAGAAAACTGTTTAACCGATGTTCTTGTGATGGTGAATAATGCTGCTGTGAACATTGGTGTACAAATCTCTGTTTGTGCCTCAGTTCTCATTTTCTCAGGGTATGTTCCAAGCAGTGGAATATCTGGGTCATGAAATTTCTGTGTTCAGCTTTCTGAGGAAATGCCAAACAGCCTTCCAGAATGGTTGTACTATTTTACAATCCCACCAACAGTGTACAAGAGCTCCTATCGCACCACATCCTCTCCAATATTTATTACTTGCTGTCCTGTTAAACTTTGCCACTGCTACTGGGATGAAATGGTATCTCATTGTGGTTTCAATTTGCAACTCTTATTGCTGGTGAGTTTGAGCATTTCATCATGTGTTTGTTGGCCATCCAGTTATCTTCCTCTGTGAAAGTTCTATGTCTTTTGCCCGTTTTGTGATTATGCTATCAGTCTTAATGTTCATAGCAGCATTATTCACCATCACAAAAACATGGAAACAGTCCAGTTATCCAACCACAATCGAATGGATTGAGAAAGTATGGTACATTCACACAATGGAACACTACGCAGCTTGTAGGAACAGTGATTTTGAAAATCACTACCTGACTTGGGAGGGACTGGAGAGCATTATGCTAAGTGAACTAACTCAGTCCCTTAAGGACAAATAATGTATAAGACCATTATCAGAGAAATGGATAAATAGTAAAATGTGTATGAGAATCCAAGGTGGAGGAGGGCAGGATCAGAGGGATGAGGATGGGCAGGGAGTAATCAAAGGCTCACTTGATGGGTAGAGGGAGGAATAGGTAAAGGAAATGGAAAAGATTCAGTGAGAGAAAAAAAAGTACATGAACTTTGTAAGTAAAACAGTATAGAATAAAAATTTCATTTAAAAAAACAAACCTGTTTAGTCATGAAAGAAGCACCTGCAGCTACACAACAGCTTAACAACTCAGCAACAGAGACCATTTTTCTGATTCTCTAGGCTTACCAGAAAAATGGCTGTTGATAACATTTTTGCTTTTGAACAGCTTTAAGTCTGTCTGTCTTTCAGCTTTTCTTACCTGGAAAATGAGCTATTAGATTTCAGAAATTGTTTCTGTAAAGTAGCTAACACTGTGCTAATATAATGAAAATGTGTTAAAATTTGAGATGTCTTAAAACGTACCCAAAACTTTCACTTTGAGATAAAAAAACTTATGTATACAGAGATGATGGTTTTGTAGGGATGCACACCTGCTTTGAAAACAGACATTTTCTTATCTTGTTGCATACCAGGTACTTTGTGCTTTCACTCTTTCGGTATTGAATAACCATTGTTAATAGGCTTGCATTTAGAAATTCAGCCTTTATCCATTTCTGATGATGACTTTTATTTAGAAAGCTAAGTTTTAACTTAAAAATTTTAAAATCTTTATCTGCATAGTAATTATATTCAAGTTAAATACTATGGCTTTTATTTCAGTGTTTAAATTTTGATATGTCTATGTTTCTTTTCAGTTATATTTTATAATAATTTTCAATAGGTTGAAAGACTTGAAGCCAAAGTAGTTGAACCTTTGAAAGCTTACGGAACCATTGTAAAAATGAAACGGGTGAGTGAGCCTATTTTTTCCCATCTGTTTTTAAATATTTGGGAAAGAGTATGAGGTTTCTAATAATTGTCCTTTTACTAAAAAGTACAAAATGGTATTCTTTTCACATACTCCAAAAAAAATCATTTCTTAGAACTTTCAGAATTATGAAATATTTTTAGTAAGTTTGTTTTGAAAATTCTTAAGATATTTAATATAATCATGGAAAATATATGGACAAAGTATTTTTCCAAATGTATATACATTTCATTTTTGTTCTGAGATAAGTGATAATATGAATGGAACAAAGGACTTTTTAAGTAAACTTTATTGAAGTAAAATATATATGCAGAAAAATTCACCCACTGTAAGTATTTAAGACCATAAAACATATATACTCATGTAACCATAGTTATTATATGTCTCTGTATGTGTGCTTGCTTGCTTTATTTATTTATTTATGATTATAATTTTCCACTGAAATTATCTTCTTTTTTGTCTGTGTCATTGAAAAGACATTAAGGAAATACATTTGCACATAAGCATACACATCCTTAAAACATCTAATTACCTATTATTATGCATACTATAATGCAGTATTCATAATTCCTATAGTAATAGTGTCTAGATAAACAAATAACTTTGTTCTCTTAAAACAAAGTGTGTGTATTATATTTCTTAAATTAAACATTTATATTAACAAAAAATGCCTATCTACAGGATGACCTCAAAGCCACATTAACAGCAAGGAATCGAGAAGCTAAGCAGTTAACCCAGTTAGAAAGGACACGTCAGCGAAACCCATCCGACCGACATGTTATTGTATCCTTTGTATTATGGTCTTTAAAATTATGTTTAAAAAAAAAAGTTGTAGAAGGTATACTGTACAAAAAGTCAACAAGTATGTAAATTATTCATTTCTATCTTTAAATAAGAATTTGAACATAGAGTTCCAAAGGAAATAACACTTTAGGAATTCTTGCATAAGCAATTAACTAATTTTAAAAATTCACCTCTTTATATTATTTCCCTCAATAGACAATACTCCCTTTTTTAGCATGGAGGGTTTGGAAAGTAGATTTACCAACTCTACCTACCCTTCCAAAGTTTACAGAAACCAGTTTAACCAACTCTACCTACTCTTCCAAAGTTTAAAATTAAAATACCAATAAATAGGGAAGAGAAAGACTTAAGTCAAAGAAATTAGCTATAAGAATTACATCGCTTTTAATAAGCAGACGTAGGAAATTAGTCCACTTGCATGTTCTCATTCACGAAAGATTAATATGCATCACATAACTTTGGGGGATTTTTTTGTGTTAATAAATGTTCTAAAACCTTTTTAAATTTTCTTTTTTAAAGAGGTTAATTCTTTGGGATTTCAAAGAATCCCAAAGCCAACAATATAGAGCATTATTTTTTATTACTTTTTATTCTTTAAATTTGAAAGTTTGCATTGTTTAAAAAAACTTTATACCCTACAAATAGATACTTTGTTGTTGTTTTTGATTGCCTTGAGTCAAGGTGACCCTATGAACAAAAGGCCTGAAGCCTTTCTATAACTCTACATTTATTAAAGTTCATCGAGTTTCCAGAGGCATGTTGTTTAGGAAGTGGATGCCACTCCTGCTTCCATTACATACACTTTTAGCAACTATTTTGAGGCATAAATTAATATATTTCAGATCATACTAGGGAATTCTGGTAGCCTACGGGCAAGAAGCTGTGCTGCAATCCTGAAGGCGTGTGGTTCAAGGTCACCAGCTGCTCAAGAAGAGAAGGTTGGCCAGTCTCTTCCCGTGCAACTAACTGCCTCTGAGAAACCTGCCTGAGGGTACACAACAACAAGCTTGCTAAAACTTAATGTGTTGGAATCATGTATTTTCATTAACCTGCTTGCAAAACTGTATAGTAGAATTAGAATATAACCCAATTGAAAGAATGTACAATTAAAGGAGGACCAAGTGATTTTTTTAGCTCACTGAAAGAACTGTTGTATTTGTTTTCAAATGTATTTTTTCCTTTATGAAAAATTCCAGTCACAGGTGAGTAATAACGTGGAGTGCCATGAGATGGATCGTTAAAGTAAATCTTTTTTACTGGTTTCAATTCTTGTACTTTTTTGAAAAAGAAAACAAAGGCTAGTTGTCATTAGAACCTTAGATGTCACGAAGCTTGACAGTCACTGCAGTTTGCCCCATGATTAAATATTAAATGATGATATATTTTACTTTTAAGTAACTGAAGAGTATAGAAAATAAAACTTGATTATGTCTTAGGTCAACTAAACCCTCCCCTAACAACTGAACCCTGAGGGAGTTGTTTAATAGACATGATTTGATTGGCAATACCCTACACTAGTTGTCAGTGGCTGTTGAACTATTGATATGCACCTAGAGTAACTGAGAGAACAATTTTTTATGCTTTATTTAATGTAAATGTCCACACATCACTCAAGTCATTGCCTCTGAGTTGGCACCAACTCAGAGCTGACGCTCTTGTGAGTTTTCAGAAGCTGTCTTTCTCCTGTGAGCATTTGAATTTGAACCACGTGCCTCTGGGCTGGCTGTGATTGAAAAATCACTAGATCATTATTAGAGCTCTATGACATGTAACTAGTAGGCACAGTATTTTACAACACATGTCTAAAAGGAATATATACTTGCCAGAGGATATAAGCAAAGCATTAGATTTGCCTTCTCATTTATGACTACTATTGTGTGTTTTTTGTAGTAAGCAATGATTAAATAAAAACAGTCTATTATTATTGGCTTATAAGAAAAACTTGCAATTAAAAATTCCCTCCTGAAGTAATAAAAATTTAGTGTTCTCTACAGTCTATTCTACCTGATGGGTTTTTGTATAATTGGAAATACTTCATATGTTTGGAGAATTAGTAAAAATAGTGAGGTAGTAACAATAGGACTCTTAAGTTACCTATATACTTACACATCTCACTTTATTGCAACTTCACAGATAAGGCTTTTTTTTTTTTTTTACAAACTGAAGGTTTATGGCAGCTCTCTATCAAGCAAGTCTATTGACACCATTTTTCCAAATGCATGTGCTCATTTCTGTTGCATTTTGGTATTTGTCACGACACTTCCCACTTTTTCATAATGCTGATGCACAGTGAATACATTACAGGGTAGTATAAACATAGCTCCTTGTGTGCTATCACATCAGAACCTGTGCAGAACTGACCCTCCGGCAGGTTTTTAAAGGCCTTGAGTTGCACAGGAGGAGATTCCCATTCTTCTCCCGCAGAGCAGCTGGTGGATTTGAACCACTAGACCATCAGAGCTCCCTAACCAAAAGATAAACAGAAGTTCTATGCAGTGGGAAATCAAATACTTGTGTGGCTCACTCTGTTGTAATATTCTTTTTAATGTGGTCATTGGGAACTTGACATGCATCATCTTCAAAGTTTGCCTGTATCTCTTTATTTTAATAGTATCATAAAAACCATAGGCTATCAGTTATGGAAGTCATCATAGCTTTTGGTGTCTCTGTGTGCCCAGCAGTCTCCTGGTACTGTGCAAAGATTATTTAATTTCATCCATTCAACATATATGAGATAAGCATTACTGTTTTTTTAACTCATTAGAAGATTTTAAAGAATAGAAAATACTTGCAAAGTAAATTTTCACCAGATCAGTAATTTTTTTTAAAGATACTAGTAAGTCACCAGTACCTTCTTTTTTTCTGGAGAGAGGAGCTTAAAGGACAGAGAAAATGAGGAGAAAAAGGATAGTAGATAAGTGGCACTGGTAGTGACATCAGGAGAACATTTTAACAACCAGTCAAGAGTGAGAGAAGAAAAGAAATGATTTTGTAGAACGTGAATTTTTGTTTTGTGTTTGAGATCATAAATCCTGTCATTCAATTTATCTATTAAAGTTCTTTATACTGTATATGCTTATTACATAGATCATTTTATTTTTGTGGCAAAATACTTTATTAAACGACTGCAGGCTTAGGCCAGGAAACAAATACTGCAATGGTTGTATTCCCTAATGCTCTCAGATTCTGACTTGAATTTTTAATCTTTGGCTGGGAAATACTTTTGTAGGCTGAAACAGAATTACAGAGAGCTACAATGGATGCTACCCGAACAACACGTCACCTGGAGGAAACAATTGACAACTTTGAAAAACAGAAAATAAAAGACATAAAGGTAATGAAGTCACTCTTCAGCTTAAATCGCTCTGAATTTTTTAACCCAGAAGTAATCTCTGTGAAAAAGAAACTATAAAATGGATCAGATGTTATTTTCATAGAGCAACAATGGTACCTAATAGAATTACATTCCCAAACAGAAGCTAGATTTTCAACGTTATGTCATAAATACTATTTAATCTAAAGGAACTAATATTATGTTCTTACTCTTTGGGTACTATCTCAGGTATTTTTACGGAAATCATCTTTAAATCTTACAGCAGCACTGTAAGAATTAGGCAGTGTTATCTCTACACTAGGAATTCCTGCTGGAAGATGAGTGGTTATGTCCACCAACCTGTCCATGGGAGAAAACCAGTTTCCTCCAGTAAAGTTAGACAGCTTCAGAAATTTGATGGTCACCAGAAGGCAGAATCAACTTACCAGCAATTGGTCTTGTCTATATATTATAAATTAAAAAGTTAATCTCAGAACTATAAACTTACCAATGTATGGTAAGCTGAAATCTGAGATATAAACCAATTATATATTGTTTTAAAACCTCTGCTATCCACTAGGAAATCTCCTCCCCTATGATTTTCTGCCTCTCAAAAATGCTGGAGGGTCAGCTGTGAGTCAGTGCCAACTCAGCAGTACAAAACAACAACATCTCTTATTCTGGACTATCATTAGATTTTATGATGTAATGGTTTCTGATTTTTTTAAATGTTATTGTAGTTTGTTTACAAAATTTTAATACATTGCTTTTGAGAACAGATTGTTTCAATTTCCCTTACCCCTCACCCTTTTCTGATATCTTTATATCATCTTTATATCATCAAATTGGTGATGATATACCTACCATATAGACTTGCCTTTGTCATAATACGGTATTTTAATTTCATTGTAACAAACCGATAAATTTGACATTTTAGTTGTTATGTGCCATTGAGTCGAGTAAGACTCATAACGACCCTTTAAACAACAGATCTGAACCCTGTCCTATCCTGTGACATTCTCATCATATCTGACATACTTGAGCGCCTTGGCGTAGTCACCATGTCTGTCTCATTGAGGGTCTTCCTCTCTTTTGTTGACCGTCCACCTTTCCTGGCATGTTGTCTCTTTCTGAGGAATACCCTCTTCTAGCAACATGCCCAAACTATGTAAGACAAAGCTTTGCTATACTGGCCTTTAAGGAGCACTCTGTCTGAACCTTCTCCAAGACGTACCTGGGGTTTTTGGTAGTCCATGGGATATTTAATACTCCAACACTCCAACTCAAAGGCATCAATTTTTCTTCTGCCATCCTTATTCATTGTCCAGCTCTCAGATGTAGAGCCAGTGATTGAAAAGACCATGGCTTGAATCAGACACACCTTAGTGGTTAAACTGACATCATTGGTCCTCAGTGCTTGGGAAAGGTCTCAAACAGCAGACTCTTTCCCAGTGCAGTATGTCTTGACTGCTGGTGTCAAGGCTGTTGATTGTGGCTCCAGGTATGAGGAAGTTGTTGACAGTTTCAGTATTTTCCACTGTCTATCATGATGTTGCCTGTTGGTCCAGTGGTGAGGATTTGATGTTGAGATGTAATCCATATCGAAGGCTAAAGTCTTTGATCTTCTGCAGCAGGTGCTTCAAGTCTTCCTGAATTTAAGAGGGGAAAGTTGTACCATCTGCATGATGCAGGTTGTCGATGAATCTTCCTCCAATTCTGATGCCACATTTTCTTCATAAAGTCCAGCTTCTCAAAGTATTTTTTCAGCATACAGACTGAATAGATATGAAGAAAGGATACAGCCCTGATATGCATCTTTCTTGAACCTTGCAGTGTTTGCCTTTCACTTCTCAACAGCTCTTGGTCTAGGTAGAGATTTCATATGAGAATGACTAAATGTTCTGGGATTCTCATTCTTCTCAGTGTTAATCATAGTTTGTTAACATTGTTAACTATAACTATGGTTTGACATTTTTAGGATCTTGGAATTCAGAAGATCGCCAGTGAAATTTTTTTCAAGTTAGGGACCATCAAGTTGACTTGCGTTCCTGTGAACAATAGATCTGAGCCTGACCTGTGTTGCACCATTCTCACAATCTGCACTGTGCTTAAGCCATTGTTAAAATCACTGTGTCAGTCCCATCTCGTTGAGAGTCTTTCCTTTCTTTCACTGACCCCCTGTTCTTCCAAGCATGATATCTTCCTCCATCTCTTGATAACATGACCCAAATATGTAAGATAAAGTTTCAGCATCCTTGCTTCCTAAGGAGTACTCTGGCCATCAAGACTCCTTCTTCTTGTTGTTGTTAGGGGCTGTTGTGCTGAATACGACTCATAGCAACCCTTTGAACAACACATGTGTACCCTGTCCTATCCTGTGTCATCATCACAATCAACAACAGTCAAGACCATTGTAGCAGTTACTGTGTCAGTCCACTGGTTGAAGATCTTCCTCTCCTTTGCTACGTCTCCACCTTTCCAAGCATGATGTCCCAAGAAATAGCCCTTCCTGGCAACAGACCCAAAATATGTAAGGTGAAGCTTTATCATCTTTGCCTCCAAGGAGCACTCTGGCTGCACTTTCTCTAAGACATACCGGTTCCTTTGGCAGATATATTCCAAGACCCCTTAGTTACCTCTTTAAACCCACTATCTTCAAGTTGATTCCAGCTCACAGTGATCGTGCATCAGGTTTCCAAGGCTGTAAATCTCTAACCTCACACAGCAGCTTGACACTCTATACTGTGCCACCAGGGCTCTTCTCTGTACATATTAATATTTTAGTTTCTGTGGTAAAAATAGCTAATACTTCTTGAGCATTTACTCTTTGCTAGTTAATTATAGTTTTTTCCTTGAATTGTCACCTTTAATGCTTAACTTGGAATCTGAAGTTTCTATTATTATCCCCATTGTGCAGATGAGGAAAATGGAGCAAAGAACAGTTAAGCAAGCTGACTAACATTATTTCTGTTATAATTATTTCTATTGGAAGCAGAAGTGGCATCCACTTCCATAATCGCTTGCCTCTGGAAACCCTATGAACCTGGAGAAAGGATGAAAGTTACACAGGTGTCCAGGACTTTTGTTCATAGGATTGCTGTGAGTTGCCTGCGACTCGATGGCACTTCACAAGAACAACAACAATTATTTCTATATATAATTAAGCCCTAAAATGTTCTACCCCTGTCTGGTAAGTGACTGAAATTTCAAAAATATTCTAGTAAGTCATCCTAACTGTTTTATGGAAAATTTGATCACCACATTAAAAAGGCAAATAACAAGAACCATATGATCTTGGCAATTGATGCAGAAAAGACATTTAACAAAATCTGACACCCCTTCCTGATAGAGACACTCAGCAGAATTGGAAGAGAAGGGAATTTCCTCAACATAATGAAAAGTATATGTGCAAACCCAAGAGCCAGTATTTCTAAGTGAAGAAAGACTAAAAGCATTTACCTTGAGAACAGGGACCAGACAAGGATGCCCACTATCACTACTTCTATTCAGTATTGTATTGGAAGTACTTGGTAGGGCAGTGCAACAAGAGAAAGAAATAAAAGTCATCCAGATCAGCAAAGAGATGGTTAAATTGTCACTCTGCAGATGATATGATAGTGTTCACAGAAAACCCTTGCCAAGGACTCAACCAAAACACTGTTAGAGCTAATAGACCAATTTAGTAGAGTGGCAGGATTTAAGTCCAATGTCCAAAAACTGAGTAGAATTTCTCTACAGTAACAAAGAGAACTCAGAGAAGGAAATCGAGAAAGAAATATCATTTACAATAGCCAATCACAAATTGAGAAACTTGGGAGTAAACCTAACTGGAGACACAAAAGACCTGTCCAAAGAAAACTACAGCACATTGGGGCGATACACAATAAAAGACCTAAAGAAATAGAAAAATGTGCCCTGTTCAGTATTCTGAAAATGACAGTCCTACCAAAAGCAGTCTACATGTTTAATGCAATCCCAATACAGATACTAAATTCATTTTTGAAGGAGATCAAAAGGGAAATTGTCAAGTTTATTTGGAGAGGAAAGAGATCCTGAATAAGCAAAGCACTTATGAAAAAGAAAAATAAAGTGTAAGGCATAGCACTCCTTCACCTGAAAACCTACTGCATAGAAGTAGTAACCAAAACAGCATGGTACTGGTATAGTGACAAGCACACAGACCAACAGAACAGAACTGAGAACCCAGAAATGGACCCAGCTATCCGTGGTCAACTTGATATTTAACAGAAAATAAAACTATTAAATGGGGAAATTACAACCTGTTCAACAAATATTGCTGACAAAACTGGACTGCTGCCTGCAGAAAGCTGAAACAGGATCTACATTTGCCACCATACATAAAAGTCAACTCAGGATGGATCAGAAACCTGGGAATAAACTCCATAATTGTAAAGTTCAGAGACAAACTGGGATCAAGCTCAAATGCCCTGGTCTATGATATAAAGAGACTGCCAAATACAGCCAGAAATGCACAGTCTGAACAGGATAAAATTGATGAATGGGGCCTTCTAAAGATTAACAGACTGAAATGAAAACCTGACTGGGAAAAACATTTGGCAATACCATTTCAGACAAGGGTCTCGTATCAAAAGCTTATGGAATCCATCAGGGCCTCCACAAAAAGACGACTGATAGCACAATTGCAAAATGAGCAGAAGACATGGAAAGACATTTGACAGATGAACATATTTGGATGGCCAACAGATAAATGAAGAAATGCTCAAAATCACTGACAATAAGAGATGCATATCAAAACCACAGTGAGATAGCATCTCACCCCAATAGCAGTGACAGAGTTTAACAGGAGAGCAAGTAATAAATGTTGGAGAGGATGTGGAGAGATGGTTACTCTTATACACTGTTGGTGGGATTATAAAATGGTACAACCACTCTTGAAGGCAGTTTGGCATTTCTTCAAAGAGCTGAACATAGAAATTCTGTATGACCCAGATATTCCATGCTTGGAATATAGGCCGAGAAAATGAAAACTGAGGCACAAACAAGTATTTGTACACCAATGTTCATAGCAGCATTATTCACTATCGCAAGAACATAGATACAGCCCAAATGTTGTCCAACCACAATCAAATGGATTGAGAATCAATGCAGGAGCAATGATTTTGAAAATCACTATCAAACTTGGGAGAGATGAGTGCTAAGTGAACTAACTCAGTTCCATAAGGACAAAAACTATGCAAGACCATTATTGTAGAAATAATTAGTCAAATGTGTGTGAGGATCCAAAGGAAGGAGCAGAAGGGTGAGGATGTGGGGGGAGGGGAGTGTTAATCATAAGGTTGCACAATTTAATGGGTGGAGGGTAGGTTGGGTAAAGGAAATGGTAAAGTTCTGAAGTGAAAAACGAAAAACTTGTGTGTGGCTCTCTGAAGCCGCTTGCAGGAAAAAATCAAGCATAGGCTCACATCTTTCATGTTTTTCAGAGAGCCACACACAGGTTTTCAGTGTTTGACCTTGTTACTAGATCCTAATCCTGCTGTGTTCCCTTTGGTATCAGCACTTCTAAAAGCCATTTGACTCTCTTCCAATGAGCACCTGCTTTAGGGAGGCTAGGAATTTCCAGATCTGTACTCATTCTGCCCCTAGTGGTATTCCTGGGTATCCAGAAACTGTAGAAAATCCAAAATTGTGTTTTGGCTTTTTTTTTTTTAATTACTGTAGCCTTTTGTCAGTCCATTGCATTAGAGTCCTATGTGGTGACCACTCTTAGTCATAGTACAAGAGTCAAGTAGCTGAGATACTTTCACCTACATATCTTTTTCTGTGAAGTAGCAATCAGAAGTGTGTTAATACTCCCTTATTGCCTAATTGTTAAAGAATTATTTATTGCCATCGAGTCAGCTTCAAATCATGGTAACTTCTGTATAACAGAATGAAACACTGCCCAGTCCTGTACCATTTTCATGATCATTGATTAGCATGTTGGATATTGTATCAGTTCTGTCACAGTGGATATTGTATAAGATCATCTAAACAAGTTTTATTACCTTGTTTTCTCTGGCCCTTTACCAAACATGTCCTTCTTTAATGATTGATTTTTATTGGTAAGTATGATGGAAAAAAGTAATCACAGAACACTGATGCATATCTATGTGGCTTTATTTCACAGTGCACACCATTCTCATTTGGGTGGTTGTCTTAGTAGAGCAGGGGTCAAAAGAATTGGGTACTTGACTCTTGTCTTCTGCTTTAGCCCTTCCCTTTGATCTTGTCTTTTTAAGGATGATACCTGATTATTTTCTGTCAGTTCTCACTGTGTTGGGTTTGCTGTATATTAATGCTTTGGCTTTCTGATAACAGAATTAACAAAAGGAAAGATCTTATTTTACTGAAAATTTCTCTGGTTTGTATCCTTTCCCTAATTATCTCACTCCTGCCTGTTCAGCATATATATCCTTATCTTGCTTGTCACAAGTGTTCACCATGCTCATAAAGCTTACCTGTACAGTTTGTGAAGAGGATTCCAGATGAAAAGCACAGTGCAGTGAGCAAGAGATACACCCTTTGAAGAATTAGATTTAGCTAGGTATTCTGTATGTCAGTTCTATATAAATTTATGGTAAGAATTTGTGGTAAGAATAGCATCATTATGAAATAATCCTTTGTAGTTTATAGTCAGAAATATGATGGAATACATGTTTAATCCATATGCTGTTATTTAAACATTACTTGGACTTGCTAAGTACCAGCTTTAGAGTTACATTCGTATCTGTGTGGAATTGAGAGTCTGGAATGGTATACGTTTTGGTCAGGCCTTTTGATTTTTTTTATTAAAAAGTCATTTACTAAATGCACATAGGAGAAATAACTAGGAAATAAGGAGGACGTGAATGGTCTAACAAAAAAATGCTCTGTGTAATATGAATGTGTCATTCCAGAAAGGCTCTGCAACTATTTTTGTACCCTGGCTGCTGTCTTTTGCAGTATTTCATCAATTGCTAAGAATATAGTGAGGAAATTCACAAAGCAGTTCAGTGGATTTGTGAATTTGTTTAAAACGTTAAATATTAAAGTGCCAGTATGTTATCAAGAGTCCTCTGTGATCTGCATGATGTCCAAGGGCCTAGCAGCTCAGAAGAGATACTTTCAACTTCCTACCTATACATGTTTTAAATATTAAAAGAACGGATTTAAATTTGTATAAATTAAAATCTTTGTTTTTTAGAATATATTTTCAGAATTTATCACTATTGAAATGTTATTTCACGGCAAAGCTTTAGAGGTCTACACTGCTGCCTTCCAAAATATACAAAAGATTGACGAGGAAGAAGATTTAGAGGTAGGATTGTCTATCTATCTATGCCGCGTTCTTCTGCTAATATGAAATGTTTGAAAAGATTCCTAATTTGTGTAGGTAAAAAAATCTATTAGAACACTAGCTGTACTTTTATGATTTTCTGTTTAACATTTCACATTAACCATGGTAAAATTCCAGCAGTAATAGATAGTAAAACAGAATCTACATAAAGTCATTACATGAAAGAAAGTAGTTTATAATGTTTTGACTATTAAAGTAAGTTCACTAAATATGCTAAAAATAAACAGGTAAGCATTTATGCTGTGCACATAATGCCAAAAGCTTGACATGTGTCTTCTCATTCATTCTTTACATACTCCAGTGAGTTAGGTGCTGTTGTTACTCTCATTTTATAACCATAGAAGCAAGTTCAGATTCTTTAAATAACTTGTCTGTGGTTCCTTAGCTTAACAGCTGGAGAGGATTTTAACATAAGCTAATATAAATTTTAGTTCAATGAAAATAATTCTGTTTGACCAGCTAACACTAGAGTGATTAAATATATCTAAACCTCTCTTGGTTAATAGGGAGGGAGGAAGAAGGGATTAAAAACAACTGTCAGTAAGTTGGGTGAATGGAAGGGTAGTATACAATAAGGGGTTTATCAGACATAGTAATTAATTAGCTAATTCTAGTTAATATTTAAAACAAAATGTATATGAATAATTAAATGAAATATTAATATGATCTGTAATTTCATTCCAATAAAGAAATGCTATCCAGATCAAGGTGGGGAAACTGCCTTGAAATATGGAAAGCATAAATAAAAATAAATGTATTTTAGCCAAATAAACACTTCTTAAATGTCCTACATTCATATCTTCCCAAGAACAAGGTATATTTCTCTTGGAAAGTAAGAATAACATAAGGCACAAAAGTATTTTGTTTGAACAGATACTCAGGACATGCTTTATCTGTATTATCTCTATAATAATAATAATGGCCATGGACTTTGCCGATTAACCAGAATTCTGTACTAACAGATGAGTGAATTGTGTGCCATTTGATATTTTTTAAGTTTCTACAATATTTATGAGTAAAAATATCTAGAAAGAGGGTCCCAAGGCCTTTTTCTCCTACATCTTTGCTGTCTCCAAAGAATTTAATTCTGTCTCCAAAGAATTTAATTCTAAAAAATCTGAAAACAGCTTGACTAAAAGAAAATGAAGCTACTCCTTGAGATGTGTCTGTTTGTTCCCAGTGCTAATTACATTTCATGTCAGTAACACTTGGCATGATTTATGTCTGTTGCTCTTCAGTAGACTCCTATAAGTAGATGCTTTATTCAGATACTTCTTTTCATGCTCTGTTTTAAAGCTTTTAATTTGTCATTTGTAAAATAATAGAGTTATGTAAGTCTTACTTTGGACCAGCTGCTGATCTAAGCATTTTAACTGCAATAATACTTTTGATATTCCCATAAACTTTGATAAAAATATTTATTATCTTCATTTCTATGGATGTGAAAATTCAAGCACAGTGGACTTATGAGCATTTCAAAACAAGCTAATAAGGACCAAACCTTGAGAGTGAAACCCAGATGTACAACTATAAATGTAGTTGTTGACTTTTTGGGGGGCAGGTGTTTATGCTTTCTACCTAATACTGTTAGAAGTATGATTCTGAATAGGACAAAAACATTCTCCTAAAAAGTTAAAGTTCCCTTTAATATTTTGTTCTCTCCTTTTAGTAATACCTTTAACATACCATTTGTTAGTTGATACTAAAACTCCTTCAAGCTCTTTCATCCCTTAATTCTTCCTTTTCATTCCAGTGGTCCTAGATAAGCTTTTCACACCATTTCCTTTTACTTCTCTTATATTCCTCTGGAGTTTTGGTGGCCAAGTGATAAATTCTTCTGCAATCCTAAAGAAACATGGTTTGAATCCACAGTCTGCTCTGCAGAAGGATGGGCAGTCTCCTCCTGTGCAATTTACTGCTTTTGAAAATCTACTGGAGGATCAGCTATGTGTCGGTTCCAAATCAACAGCAAACAACAAATATTACTCTTAATTGGCTAGCTCGTTAACTTGAAAAAGAAGAGATCCATAGGGAAAATGTCTCAGAATCATAGTTACACTTCTAAATATCAGCTTTCTAATGAGTAAACAGGGGTCTCTGGTGAACTACTGGCAAGAAGCTGCACTGCAATTCTGGAAGCACACAGTTCAAGGCTACCAGCTGCTGTGCAGGAAGAGCAGTCACTTCTCGTGAGATTAACTGCCTCCGAAAATCTGATGGAGGTCAGCTGTGGGTCACTTCTGACTCTGTGGTAAACAAGAAGAATGGGTTACGGCCAGGTAAACAACAGTGGGTTAATGCTAGGAATTTGAAGGACAGCTGTCTGGCCAACAGATTGGAAGAGGTCCATTATTTGTTCCCATTCCCAAGAAAGGTGATCCAACACAATGTGGAAACTGTCAAAAAGATCATTAATATCACATGCAAGCAAAATACTGCTGAAGATCATTCAAAAATGTCTAAAACATTCTGGGAATTGTTAGAAGTTCAAGCCGCACCAGGGATATCATTGCTTATGTCAAAAGGATCCTGGTGGGAAGTAAAGAATACCAGAAGAATGTCTATTTATGCTTTATTGATTCTGCAAAGGCATTTGAATGTGTGGATCATAACAAGTTATGGCCAGTATTGAGAATAATGGAAATCCCAGAGCACTTAATTATGCTCATGCAAAACCTGTACCTAGACCAGGAGACTGTGAAAACAGCAAGAAAACACAACATGGTTTAAATTAATAAGGGAGTAAGCGTGTCTATGTTGAATTCTCTCTCCATACCTATTCAATTTCTTTGCTGAGCAAATTATTCAGGAAGCTGGACTCTGAACAAGAATATGGCTTCAAGATTGGAGGGAGACTCATCAGTAACCTGCATTATGCAGATGGCACAACCTTGCTTGCTTAAAGTGAGGAGAACTGTGTGTAAGTACTTGATGCAGATCAAAGAATACAATCTTCAATATGGATTGCATCTCAACGTCAAGAAAATAAAGATTCTTACCACTGGACCGATAGACAACATCATGATAGATGGAGAAAAGATTGAAACTGTCAACAACTTCATTTTATTGGGATCCACAGTTAACACCCTTGGCACCAGCAGTCAGGAAATTAGGAGATGTATTGCACTGGGAACGTCTGCAGTTAGGGAACACTCTAAATTATTGAGGAATAATGATGTCTGTTTGAGGACTAAGGTGCATCTGGTTGAGGCCATACTCTTTCTGATCATTTGTGTTGCATCTGAGAGATGGACAGTGAATAAAGACCACAGAAGAATTGATGCCTTTGGGCTGTGGGTTTGGAGAAGAGTGTTCAACATCCATTCAACTGCCAAAAGGAAAAACAAATATGTCTTGGAGTGTAACCAGAGTGCTCATAGGAGGCAAAAAATGAAGCTTTACCTCATATACTTTGGGCATGTTGCTAGGAGGAGCTATATCTTTGGAGAAGGACATGATGCTCAGACAGGCGAAAGAGAGAAAGACCCTCAACCAGGTGAATGGACATGGTGACTGCTGTGTTGGGCCCTTGTGTCTCAGAAAGTGTGAGGGTGGCACAGGGTAAGACAGAATTCAGATCTTTGTTCATAGGGTCAGAATGAGTCTAGTTTGATAGCATATAACAACAGTAGGATAATACTAAACAAGCTTCTCCATCTCTAAACTAAAGATGAATATAGTACTTACCATGTAAAATATTCATTCCACTACTGTTATCTGGCCAGTGCCACAAAGGAAAAAAATGTAAGTTATGAATATATATGATGGAGGGTTCCGAATGTTACAGAGAAGCAAGGGAGATTGACTAGAAGTTTAATGTGTGGGAAGCAGCCCAGCAAAATCCTTGTATAATGTTGTGAGTAAAGAGCAATATAAATAAGTTAATGGAAGACACAGAGCAATTGTTCAGTGAGCTTGAACATATAAACTGTTATGACACATAGCAATGAGTAAATATCTAAGAGGAGAGCAGAGGAATCTGAGACTCGGGGAAATAATATTTATATCAAACAGGCACTAAGGGTTACCAGCCAGGTTAATATAAAGTTCCCCGGACATAAGGAAATCTAAGAGAACAGGAAAAGAAAAATAACCTCCTATTCTATATAACCTATGCTTTATGAGAACAGCTAAGACCTAAATAAAAATTAACCTTTTTGGCTTTCCCCAGCATTTAGGCTCTCTAGTTATAAAGCGTCTCACTTCATTTGTTTCAAACCAAAAAAAGTATTATCATGCCTATTCTTTATAAGGTCACTTCTTTGCAGTCACTTCCAAGTATGCTGAGAATCTGAGACTGATTCCTAGGTCTTTGATCATGTTGGGAAAAATATACTATTATAAATTTCATATTCTTGTGTATCTTTTACCTTTTTTAGGAAGGTTTTAACTTTTTTATTTAACTGGTTTAGACTTTTATCCTGTGGGTTGTATATTGCTTTTCCACTTGGAAACCTTTGCTACAGAATTTAAAAAAGGAATAATCTAACCAAAATGCCATTTCCTTCCACATACCAGTTAATTATGTCAGTAAGTTATCCAGTTTTTCTGTCATCAGGCTGCAGAACTGCTCTAAACACAAGTCCCACCTCTTGAGTTAATGTTTCATCCCTTCATTCTTTGCCTTTCTGCAGTTCTCTCAAGTTTAAAACAGATATGTCATAATCCTTATTTGTGTCTCCCTTTCATCTCTACACCATAAAGATTGCATTCATGTTAGCATCATTTATTTGTCATCTATTTACCAGGTTCATTCTTCAGCTGTTGTCATATACTGTTGAGTCAAAACTAACTCCTAGCTAACCCTCCAGTGGGTTTTCAGAGGCAGTAAATCCCGCAGGAGAAATTGCCCACCTTTCTCCCACAGAACAGCTGGAGGAGTCAAGCCATGTTGCTTTTGGGTTGGCAGCACAATTCCTTACAACTAAGCCACCAGGGCTGATTGCTAGAGGAACTTTAGGTGTGAAGACTCATTAGTAATCAAACACAAAATAGTGAGAGAAAAGCTGTACTGTGCATTACTGACTGCAGAATAGGGCAGAATTGAAAGAAACTGGCATTTGACTTAAGTCTTTAAGAAATGAGTAAAGTTTGCTGGAATTGGCTGAGGAATCATTGGAAAAGCTAATACAACATTAGTCCTGCCTGGAGGCTATCGTATTTGGCAGTTTTAAGATAAATTAAGCTTTTTATGTTACCTAATCATTAGATCATTTGGGAGTGGGAGCCTGAGGTTGGTTGGTTTTGTTTTGGGGTTTGGGGTTTTTGTTTGTCTTTTGTGGAAGACTCATTAACAACCTGGGTTATATAGATAGCACAACCCTGCTTGCAGAAACTGAGGAGCACTGGAAGCATTTGCTGCAGAAGGTCAAGGACTACAGTCTTCAATATGGATTGGAGCTCAACATCAAGACAAAGATTCTCACCACTGGACCAACTGGCAGTACCATGATAGATAAACAAGAATTGAGGTTAACACTTTCAGCTTGCTTGGCTCCACAATCTACACTCTTCGAATTACATTAGGAAGTCTCTTCTGTCAGTAAACTCTCCAAAGTGCTAAAGAGTAATGTTGGCAGTCTAGGGATTAAGGTGCCCCCATCAAGACCGTGGTCTTCACAATTACTTGCTATGCATCAGAAAGCTAGGCAATAACTTAAGGATAACAGAAGAATCGGTGCCTTTTGAGTTTTGGTGCTGGAGAAGAGTATTAAACATACCATGAACTGCCAGGAGAACAAATAGGCCTGCCTTGGAGAGAATGAAACCAAATTTCTCCTTGGAGGCAAGGATTTTGATGCTGTCTCACATACTTTGGGCACATGGCCAAGGAGGGACCAGTCCTTGAAGGACATCATACTTGTGAGGGATAGAGGGACAGCACAGGAGAGGAAGAGACCAAATGAAATGGGTTGACATGATAGGTGTGTCGGAGTGAGACTGGCTCATAATCAAGCAGGGTTCAAGAGCTATTCTATTGTACATAGGGTCGCTGTAAGTAGCAGGCCACTTGATGACGTATACCACCACATGACACCTAAGACTTTTTAATTCGGGTAATCAAGAAGTAACATAAGAATTTGGTCTTAAGATTATTCTAAGTAAATTATAAAGAAATATGTGGAAGGTAATAAATTAAAACCCTTGAGTACTTTAGGTAGAATGCCCAGGCTTCTGACTTGGTCTTCTAACTGTATGGTTATGTCTGTAATTGTAGAAGTGAATCTAGAGCTACACTGATAAAGAATACAATTCCTGCTGGACATAAGTGGCTGTTTTCAGTATAATATTACTTAAAAGTAAAAAAATTACTATTTTGGAAAGAGCAAATTGTTCATCTCAGAAAGTTGGATATTACTGCTGTATGGAAACATGAACAAGCAGCTATCAGAATTGGTTAAAGGGTAGCTCTTGGTCAGTGTGTTGAGATTTTTCAGGTTCACTCTGTTGTTTTTTAAGTAGCCTAAGGGAAACTAAAAATACTCAAGGTATCAAGGGTATGGAGAAATAGGGGCAGCTCAGGGAGTTCTGAAAGCAGTCCATAGGGAGTTTTGCTGTGAACCCGAAGGTGCTGTTTATGGGGGTTCAAATCCACATGCAGCTCCTTTAAAGATGGACAGTCTCTTTGAATGTGATTTACAGCTTCTGAAAACCTTCTGGAGGAAAAGCTTTGAGTTGGTTCCAATTCATTACTAATAAGCACCCATTTAGAATGGCAAGGGAAATGCATACACGTGACTGTTTCATGATTTAAGTGCTTTTTTATTTCCAGGTTAAATTTTGGTTGTGTGGTTTCATTTTTTGGGTGTTTTTTTTTTTAATTTTACCTTAAATTTACACTAAATGTCTTTTATCCATGGCCAGGAATAAGGAGGGGTTGCTTGAATATATTTTACCTAAAAAGAACTTACTTTGGCTTTCTATATTCCCACTGTTGCATTTCTTCTTTATTAGTAATGTCATTTTATCATTGCAATAGGTTTTCCGAAACACAGTGTATCCACCAGATTATTCATCTCGTTTAGATATTGTAAGAGCAAATTCAAAGTCACCTCTTCAGAAATCTCTGTCAGCCAAGTGTGTACCTGGAACCGGACAGGTAAGCTAGAAATAGAAATTTAAAGGAAGTTCTGCTTCAGTTGTAGAACTATACTAAAAATGTTTCTATTTAGCCGCATCACCTCATATCCCTTATCCACTCTGGGCTCTAAAATGGAGGTGATACGTGGTGGTGGTGGTGGTGGTGGTGTGTACTGTCACGTGAGAACCAACTCAGAGCTGACCCTCCAGTGGGTTTTCAAAGGCAGTAAATCATTAAGGGAGGAGATTGCCTTTCCTCTCACTGAGCAACTGGTGGATTGGAATTCCATGCCTTTTAGGATTGCAGTGCAGCTTCTTACCACCAGAGCACCCTTAGATACTAGGTGTAGCTCTAATAAAATATTATGGCTTATATTATTATCATTTATACTATAACCACATATGACACTACAAAGCAGAGGATTTGTTTGAAAACAGATGTGGAAAAGTCAAGAGAATGATAGATTGTTCTCAGGAACACAGATCAGGGAGCACAGATTCTGAAGGCATAGTACCTATTTTAACTAATCTTACTACTCTACCTAGAAAGTTTACCTAAGAGGCTTTTCCTAACCATTATCATAGACCCAAAAGCAAAGAATCCCATTTTCCTATTTTTTTTTTCTATATCTAGAAAGTCTAATTTCTATAGTGTAAGTCGGCAACTTTTTTCACTAAGCAACTGAAGGCTTTACTGCCCATATGGCTTTCACAGGTAAAGAGAAGCTGTAGACAATAATGGGTATGGTGGTGTGGCAGTAAAAACTTTATTTACAATAAAAGCAGGCTAGATTTGGTCTGAGTTCTGTTGTTAGGTGTTATTGAGTTATTTGTTTTGTCAGTCTTCAACCGCACATGGCATTCAGTACAACCAACTCAAAGGGATTCTAGTCTGTAATCTTTATGGGAGCAGTTTGACAACAGGTCTTTCTCACACAAGTTTACTGAGTGGATTCAAGATACCATCCTTTGATTAGCATCCAACCTTTTCATGTCTACTTTTCAGACTTCTAAATTAAGCAAAAGATTTTCCAAATACAACTTTTGGGGTATATTTGACTGAATACCTTCTTGATTGTACTGCCTTTTTCTTTTCCCTGGTGATTTTTTTTTTCTAGCACTGTCTTGCACATGGATTACATAGTAAAAGAAAGTTTTGACTTAAATGTTTCACTGGAATCACAGTGGTTACACAGTTAACTGAAACCTTCCTGGTTTGAACATTTCAGCAAGCAGCTCTTTGGGAGAAAAGATGCAGCAGTTGGCTTCCATAAAGATTCAAACTCACTGCCATCAAATCCTTTCCAACTCATACATAGCCAACACTCTAGGAGGGCTCTGTGGCTGTAAATAGCAGCTCATCATTTTTTCCACAGAGCCTCTGCTGGATTAAACCCTTGGGAACGTACATATGGCTTTTGGATTAGCTGTACAATACACTAAAGACTATGCCACTAGATGGCATATGCCCTTTGGGGTCACCATGAAATCAGAATCCAGCATATAGCATCACCTAACATTTAAATAGCACTTTAGATTGAAGTTTTTCAACCTTGGTTCTATTGAGATGTTAGGCCTGTTGACTTGGAGAGCTGCCCTGTGCATTATGAAGACATAAAACTGCATCCCTAACCTGTACCCAGAAGGTGCCAGTAGCACATGCATGCATACCACCAGTCCCAAGTTGTGGCACCCAACATTGCAGACATTGCCCAGCATCCCCTGGGAGTTGTGGTTGTTGTGTGCCATCAAACCCCTGAAGTTATGTTCTCAAAAATTTTAAGATGATCCAAATGGCAATAATCAGGACTTAAAATAGTAGTAGTAGATTCAGATCACACTGCTTTTATATCGGTGTTTCTTACTGCCTGGTTGAAATGTCCTTGTCTTTCCATCCCTTTGTTAGTTCCCATTCAAGTAATTTATTACCCAAGAATGTTTGGTTTTAAATTGGTTAACATTTATAATATATTGAGTCTGTTATAAAGAGCATTAATGGCATAGCATGGAACATGTTATGCTAACTGAAAGGTTGGTGGTTCAAATCCACAGCTGCCCCATCAGTCAAGGATGAGATTTCTCCTCTCAAATGTTACCATTTGAGCAATCTAATGAAAGGTCACTGTGAGTCAAACTGGATGGGAGAGCAGTGAACTGTTAGCAGTAAATACTATTCTCTGAAAGAAAATATACTATTGAAGGAAGCATTTGTGACTAGCCAACTGGAATAAAATTGTTAATTTTTATTTCTAAAAATTTGATAAAAAGATTCAAGGACATTTTCAACTTTTTAGGTAAATCTTTACTAACAATTATTACTTGTGAACTTTTTTGTGGCATACTTTATTCTGTGTGCTTTGGACATTTTTTTAAAAATACACCAAGCACAACAAATATTTTAGTTCTTTTTTTAAAATTGTGTTTAACTTAACAGGTATCCTCCACCTACCGACTGAGAAAGGATCAACAAGTAGATGAGGAGGATGAGGATGAATTAGACATGACAGATGAAAATTAATTTCCAAGTATTCTTCACATTTCTACTTTCATTTTATAATGACTCAGAATCCAAGATTACTAAGTTATAAAACTTTATCCTGGCTTGATAACCTCAAAATTAAGTGTTACTACTGGAAATGTAAAAATAAACTTTATGCTGACCAAATATTAAGGTTTTAAAAAATCCTACAGGTCAGTCATTTCCATTTCATACCTAGTGGTATCTTTTTGAGTGTATGTTCCATTTTCTCCTAAGAGAGTATATTTCACAGTATTCCATGTTAATGTAGTAAGGCTTGTTTTTAAATGGGTGTCAAAAACTGTAAGATAAATAGTTCCACCGGGCTTCTTCCAGGGTAAGATTGTATCCTATCTGCTTAAATGCAAGGTTTTATTCTGTGAAGCCTTAAATCTTAAAATTCCTTTCTTTTAACCTTTATTAAAACTTGATGTTTCATGTGCTATATAAATTTACCTTTAAACAATAGTGAGATCAGAATTTTAAAAATCAAAGACTGGGATATCAATAGTTTACAAATATATATAAAGCTATTATTGCAACTTTTTAGAAGGGGATATTTAATTCTGGTTTTTGAAAAAAAAAAAAAACTGCTATCAAACTAAAGTGTTAACACACGTGATACAACTTTTAGAAAGGAGAGAGTATACCACGTTGGAATACTGCCGAGAGAAAAAAACATAAGCAAGCATATATAAGTTCATAAATCATTAATAGTTCTTTAAGAATTTTACCAAATGACCATCTGATGTTAAAAAAGGTCAACTATTCTTGTAAATATGGAAGTTTAAATCTTTCAGTATGAAGCTTTTGTTTCTTAGGGTGAGATTATAATTTTGATAATTCATAAATTAGGCATATAAAAATTATAAAATTTATCAACATGTTTCAGATAACTGTAAATAAAGATACTTTCTAGAAAGCGTTGTGACTGTCATTAATGGTTCTATTCTTAAAACATTCTGAAAACCAATGTCTTTAAACTTTTAAAACATTTTAAAACCGTAAGTATTCTTAAGGAACAAAGGGTATCATTGCATTTTTTATTTTCTCAGCATTTATGTTACAAACAGGAGGAAATTGATGGGAGCAGGGCTGCAGTATTATACTGAAACAGTAATTTAGCTGCTTGCTGAACAGCTTACTAAAGTATCAGTTGCTTTTTCTGTAGAGCTCAAACGGTGTCACTGACGTTTTAGCAGTTCCCCAGCAGTTCTGTGGATGTCCCCTGCTTCAACAAAGTGGACAGAAAAGACCTGGCAACTCCCCTCCAGCCTTGGAATACCCTTGAAAACTCATCTCCATGCATAACCCCAGGACCATCTTCTTAGCGATCTCCAATTTTGAGGACCAACTAAGGTGGTTTTTTTTATTGTTAGCCCCAAATCCTTGACCAACTGTGAGCTCTCAGATCTGTCACAATTATCTTGCTGAAGTGGAACCATCTGGTCAGCCTTCACATGATGGGCTTCTACACCTACCTCTCTCTGGGTTTTTATTCTGACCACAAGAATTTGGCCTTGGAAAGCATGAAACGCCGGGGTGCCAAGCAGCAGCCATGTTTTCTTCCAGGATACACTAAAGCCACCCCAGGATGATGATGATGATTGCCTTGAGTGAGGGGAAAATACTAGACGTCAGCAGCCCTTGCCTTGGAAAAGAACCTGAACCAGGCCATTCTGGATCTGCACAACATGGTTCTACCCAGACTCCCATCTCTCTGACTTCATGGAGAACAACTTCCTGGATGAGGATGTGAAACTGCTTTAGAAGATGGGTGACCAACTAACCAACATTTGAAGACTGGGCTGCCCCAGGCCAGGCTGGGCCAGTATCTCTCCAGAGGACTCACCCTCAAGCATCACCAGGGGCCTACAGGGGACACCTCTGCATCCCCTTGCCATCAGCAGCAAGCTTCTCCTTCCTACCCCTAGCACAAGCTTTGAACCAAATGTTAATAAGCTTTTTGCAACAGCTAAAAGAAGTCCATAATTCTGAAAGAAAATGTGTGCTCTGCCCATCTCAAATATGTTTGTAAGAGAAATGACTGCCTTGACAAATTACCCTAAAAAAGGACTAAAAAAAAGGTGTAACAATTAGCATTATCAATATAATACTTAGAAATATAAATCATTCTAGTGAAGATCTTTATTGTGGCCTTTTTCCTTGATTATTGGGGGAAACTGCTTAAGATCTTTTCCTCCATCATCTTGAGATGGTTTTTGCTCCAGCAGATTTGTTTTCCAGGGTTAAGGGACTCTGGTGGCATAACCCATAGGGATTTGCTCACTCAAAAGGCCACACCTCTCGTGTCGTTCAAATCCACCAGCTTCTCCTTGAGAGAAAGATGAGTGAACTCCTCGAATTAGTTGAGTACGATAGCAATGAGTAAGGAGTAAACTCGGTCTGTTTTGTCTAACCTTTGGGGGCAGCCTGCCCCGTGCTGAATATGCACCTTCCACAATACAGCCATTTAAATGAAGTGCCTGTATTCTTAGAGGAAATTAATCCATTTGTGCTCCATCTCCAATCCCTAGGAGTCTATGCCTTAAAACTGACCTGGAGTTGTATATATGCAGTCAACCCCATAGGTGGTTCAGGAAAAATCAGCAAGCAAAAGACAGTTGACTGAGAGAAGAGGCTGCCACTGGTGATGACAAGGATACATGCCTAAAGGAGCTGCAGGAGTCCCACACAGCCAAGGGGACTAAGAGCCAAACAAAAAGGGCTATATAGGCTCTCCATCTCTTCCAGAATCTATCCTACAAGTTTATGATCCTTAGTTGTACCTTGTTCCTTAATAAACCACTTCAGTATGACCTGTACATTCCGCATGGCCACTGAAATGAGTTACTGAATTCAGCAAGGTTGACAATGCCATGATGCAGCCAGCTGGCTGATAATGATTTGTATAATGAGCTGTCTGCAATCCTACAGGTAAGCAGTCTGAATCCACCAGATGCTGTGCTAGAAGGACAATCTCCTCCAGTACCAGTCAGATCCAATTTGATGGTACACACACAAAAACAATTAAAAAATGAGCTGTCTCAATTCTACCTCCTAGGATTTGCCTTGGGCTTATCTTTACCTCATCACTTCCCCTGCATCTAAGCAGGTTCTACTGCTGCCATTTTACAATCATAAACATAGATCATAGTCTTCAGGAAGCTCTGATGGCCGGCAGTCAGTAGCAAGCTGATGCACTGCTAACCCAAAGGCCAAGCACCTCCAGCAGTGTGAATCCACCAGTGGCTCCAAGTCAGAAAAAAAGCCCTATGGAGGGACAATCAACACCCTTGAAGACATTCTAGTAAGCGATAAAAATAACAATTATGAATGCTCAGGATTGACAGAAGACTCATCAACAACCTACTCATTGAAAGCACTTGAATAAAGACTTGAACTTACGAAAGATCAAACACTGGTCTTCACTATGGATTACAATTCCATAAAAAGAAAAAAATCCTTGTGATTGGACCAAAGATTCTGGGTTCTGTGGAGTCAGAACTAACACATAGCTGACCCTCCAGGGGGTGTTCAGAAGCACTAAATTACACAGCATCTTTCTCACATGGAGCAGCTGGTGGATTCAAACTGCATGCCTTTAGATTGGCAAGGCAATTCCTTACCACTAAGTGTGGAAACTAGAGAGTATCATTGATTTAAAATGCAAGATTCTACTGAAGATTATCCTAAAATGACTGGAACTGCACATCAGCAGAAAACTGCCAGAAGTCCAGGCTGGGTTTTGAAGGGGTCATTGTAGTAGAGATATTGTAGCTAATGTCAGATGGATCTTAGCTGAAAGCAAGGAATACCAGAGGAATGTCTGTTTCGTTGATTATACAAAGGCGTTTGTGTGGAGATCATAATTGTGGCTGACTCCGAGAATGAGAATTCCAGAACATTTAATAGTACTAATGCAAAACCTCAATGTCAAGAAGGCAAACATTCTCACCACTGGACCAATTGGTAGCATCAGGATGGATGGCGAAGAGATTGAGATTGTTCACGGCTTCAGTTTGCTTGGCTCCACGGTCAACACTCTTGGCACCAGCAGCCAGGAAATCAAAAAATGTATTGTGATGGGAAAGTCTGCTGTTAGGGACCTCTCCAAAGTACTCAAGAGCAAAGGTGTCTCTCTGGAGACTAAGGTGCGCCTCTACAGGCCATGGTTTTTGCAATCACTTGTTATGCATCAGAGTTGGACAGTAACTAAGGAGAATTGATGCCTTTGAGCTGTGGTGCTGGACAAGAGTATTGAGAATACCATGGACTGCCAAGAAAGCAAACAGATCCATCCTAGAGAGGGTTAAACCAGGCTACTCCTTGGAGGCAAGGATTCTGGGGCTTCATCTGATATACTTTGGACATGTTGTAAGGAGAGACAGGTCCTTGGAGAGGGATGTCATGCTTGGTAGGGTAGAGAGACAGTGCAGGAGGGGAAGACCCTCTATGAGGTGGACTGATTCAGTGACTGGGGTAATCAGGATGGGTGTGTCAGGCAATGTGGTTGGCACAGGACAGAGCAGGGTTTAGGGCTGTTGTACATAGCGTCGCTATGAGTCGCAAACGACTCAATGGCACATATCAACAACAATGCAAAACCTATACTTGAAGCAAGAGGCAGTCGTCAAAATGGACCAAGGAAACACTGTACGGTTCAAAATTGGGAAGGGTGTCCGCCAGGGATGTGTCCTATCTCCATACCTTTTCAACCTGTGTATGCAGAACAGATTATCCAGGAGGTTGGGTTCTATGAGGAGTGTGGCGTCAGAATTGGTCAAAAATCAATCATCTACATTATGTAGATGACACAACCGTGCTTGCTGACATTGAGGTGGACCTGAAGCACTTGCTGCAGAGGATCAAAGACTGCAGCCTCCAATATGGATTGAGGGTCAGTATCAAGACGACAAATAGAGTCTCACCACTGAGCTAATTGGCAGCATCAGGATGGATGGTGAAGAGATTGAGATTGTTCCACTTTAGTTTGCTTGGCTCTAGTCAACATCACTGGCACCAGCAGCCAGGAAATTAGATTGAGATTGTTCCACTTTAGTTTGCTTGGCTCTAGTCAACATCACTGGCACCAGCAGCCAGGAAATTAAGAGACATATTGCAATGATAAAAGTGTGCTGTTAGGGACCTCTCTGAAGCACTGAAGAGCAATGGTGTCACTATGGAGACTAAGGTGCATCTGATACAGGCCATGGTCTTTGTAATCACGTTATGCATCAGAGAGTTGGACAATGACTAGGGAGGATAGAAGAACTGATGCCTTTGAGCTGTGGTGCTGGAGAAGAGTATCGCGTGTACCATGGACTGCTAAGAAAACAGATTCATCCTGAAAAGAGTTAAACCACGCTGCTCCTTGGAGGCAAGGATTCTGAGGCTTTGTCTGACATACTTTGGACATGCTGTAAGGAGGGACCAGTCTTGGAGAGGGACATCATGCTTGGGAGGGTGGAGGGACAGCAAAGGAAGGGATGGCCCTCTATGAGGTGGATTGATTCAGTAACTGGGGTAATCAGGGTGGGGGTATCGGAGAGTGCAACTGGCACAGGAAAAGGGCAGGGTTTCATTAAGGCTGTTGTTGTACATAGGGTCACTATAGAGTCACAAGCGATTCGACACATGACAAGCCACCAGAGCTTACACAATTCTTATGCTTAGACCAACAGGCAACATCATAAATGGAAAAGAGATTTGTCAAGGATTTCCTTTTACTTGAATCCACAATCATCCATGGAAGCAGCAGTCAACGTATAAAAAGCTGCACTGCACTAGGCAAGCCTAATGTTAACATCTGCTCTCCTAAAGAGCAAGAATGTTAAAAAAAAAAACCTAAAAAAATGCACCCAAGTCATGTCTTTGACTGCTTCATATGCATGTGAAAGGTGGACAATGATTAAGGGAAAACTGATACCTTTGAATTGTGATACAGGCAGTCTTGAATTTAACATGGAATGCCTAAAGAACCACTGAATCAGACTCACAAGTGCAGATGGACTTTACAAGTCAGTCACCTTGCCCATGTTATCAGGGAACCAGTACTTAGCAGAGAGCATTATACTCAAAAATATAGGAAAAGAGGAGGAAAAGGAAAGACCCTCAAGGAGATGGACTGAAACAAAGGATACAGCCAAGTAGAGATTGCAAGACCTGGCAAGGTTTTATTCTGTTGTACACACTTAGGCCGAACAACTTAAAAGGCACCTAATAGTATCATTCTTATGCTGATTATAGGATTTAAGTTTCCTTTCTACGCATAAATTAGTTTTGCTAGACAACATATATTGTCCAACCTAGAATATTTCTGATTTGGTTTCTTCAATAGACAGCTCCTCAGGTGGGCTGAAAATTCCTATTTTCCGATACAATGTCAACTGCACCACCAGTGAGGCTCTATACTTTGCAGTATTAGTGGACAAGAAATGTTGAGATTCAAAGAAATAAGGGTACTTGATGGTAGAAGAACATAAAACTCATGGTCAATCAGTGAAGCTGGATGAATAGTACAGGAGTTAGTATACCATTCTCTTGTTAGAAACTAAGGATGTGCAAGGAATGAGATTAAAAGGGAGAATTTAGGAAGTGAGGGGAAAATGTTCTGGTTTCCAACATTTGCCTATTTCTGTGGTACTCCTACCACAACCAATTCATCACTGCAAGCAGAACCTGAGAAAAGATGCACATCAAATAACTGATGTAAAAATTAACAAAGCTTGCATTTTCCTGTTAAGTGAAATAGTATCAATTTTAAATCATAGCAACCCAATGTTTCATAGGCCCCATAGGGTTTTCTAAACTGTAAACCCTATGGGAAATCAACTGGTCTTTCTCCTGCAAAGGTGCTGGGCAAATATGAACTACCAACCTTTAGATTAACAGCTAAGCAAGTAACTGATGCACACCAGGGTTCTCATGTGTTTATTATAACTGAGGTCACATACCGCCCCCCCACCATCTCATTCCAATTTCATAAATACTTCCACTAAATTATTGTAAGCTTCAGATTAACATTCTTGATATGTGAACAGGATTAAATCATCCACATATTCCTCCGAAAGATTGAGTAATCTATTTCATCTCAGACTATTTAAAAAATACCATTACTTCCTGTCTTGTTCATTGCGTCATCTTAATTTGGTATTTAATCTAAATTTCATGATGTATTTTTGTGGAATTAATAATAAGCCTCAAATTTCTTAGGGCATATTAAGATTGAGATTATGCTTCAACCTTACAAATGTCAATTAAGTATTAAATAGAAAAATCAAATCCAACTTTTGCAAAATGTCTACACTAAATATGGACTAAAAATGTGAAAATTCAATTTGATAAGAATCTTATTACACTTACTAAATCTCTGAATGGATATAAAATTTTGAAACTACAAAACGAAAATCCAATGAAACAATTACATGAATTACAATTAAATCATCTCTAGAAACAAATACCCGTTTTATTGTTTCTAGAAAAAGTCTGAAAATCCCTTTGCACACATAATTGTTACTTGGGTTTTACAAGTATTTTAAGCTACTGCTTGTCAATTTGTTTGATGAGAAGCCACAGAAGTATACTTATCACTGTACACACAAATATCAAAGAATGTCTGGACCCTCCTGTCATATTCTTTGAATGTACCTGGTAAAAAATCTCCTAATATCCAGCTGTACTTTGTGTTTTGTTTTCATATAAATACAAGTAGTTGATCTATTCCGTCGCAATTTTTTATTTTTATAAAATTTTGCGAAGTTATGAACATGGAAACATGGAAAGCATTTTATTTTTACACAAGTAAATGTCAGGTTCACAGTCTGTTCATTTTTTAACTATCATATTTAACAGAAAGCTAAACACAGTAATATCCCAAAAGGGGAAAAGGGCATTAGGTCTGCAGGCAGGCAGCAATGAAAATACCAAACCTGAAAAATCAAGTCACTGACCATTTTCTTAAACAGTTTGAATAAAAGTACAGAATGGAAATAAAAGTAGATCTAAACTTTATATTCCTCAAATACAACTCTACAAATTTACCCAGAACATCAATTAAAATGAACTCAAGAAATTAGTTCCTTCCCCACTGTCAGAGGGGGAAGTGTATACAATCTTAAATTATAAAAAAAAAAAGTAAATTTGCAAGCAAAAAGAAGATTAATCTTCTATTTACATTTGTTCTATATACAAATCAAATTAGATTGTTTCATTAAAAATAAACACTTTCAAAATGCATCTTACTGCATCAATACTGTGGGAAGCTATAGCTGAATTTAGACATGCTCTCTAGAGCAAAACCAACTTAACTTTCCGTGGACCAACTGGCCTATCATTTAGATCTTTAATAGCAGCCATAGCTTCATTATAGTTTACCAAAGTAACAATGGCTTCCCCAATAGGTAATCCTTTCTCATTAAACTGTATTGAAACGGAATCTGGTATGACTTTATAACCATGAAAAAAGTCTAAAATTTCATTAACATTAGCTTTAAATGGAAGGTTCATTATCTTAATAGAAGTAACTCTATCTGAACCACAATTTACTTTTGAATCTGGCATAAATCTCCCCTCAGGAAAAGCACCCATATTACGCTTTCCAAAATCAAATTTGCTACCTTCGGGGCGACCAAAATTGACAAAAGGGCGATGACTTCTAAAGTCATCAGGTGGGCTCCTGAACTCCTCACCAGGTGGTCTAAAATTATCAGCAAGTCTGGGGTCTTCCTCCATAACTCCCCTAAGGTCCTCCTCGGGGAGCTGCCTGAAGTCCTCATCAGGAGGGTGTCTAAAGTCCTCATCTGGAGGGTGTCTAAAGTCTTCATCAAGAGAGCCCCTGAAATCTTCATCTGCTGGGTGCCTGATACCTTCCTCTCGAGGGTGCCTGAAATGCTCTTGGGGTGGTCGCCTGAAATGCTCCGGAGGTGGTCGCCGGGAGTACTCCTGAGGTGTTCTCCGGGAATGCTCCTGGGGAGGACGTCTGAAATGCTCCTGGGGTGGCCGCCGGAAATGATCCTGGGGTGGCCGCCGGAAATGATCCTGGGGTGATCGCCTAAAATCTTCTTCAGGAGAATGCCTGTACTCCTCCTCAGGAGGCTGCCTGAAGTCCTCCTCGTGTGGCCCCCTCCAGTCCTCTTCACGTGGCCCCCTCCAGTCCTCCTCAGGGGGCCGCCTCCAGTCCTCCTCAGGGGGCCGCCTCCAGTCCTCCTCAGGGGGCTGCCTCCAGTCTTCCTTGGGGTGCTGCCTCCAGTCTTCCTTGGGGTGCTGCCTCCAGTCTTCCTTGGGGTGCTGCCTCCAGTCTTCCTTGGGGTGCTGCCTCCAGTCTTCCTTGGGTGGCTGCCTCCAATCTTCCTTGGGGGGACGCCTGAAATCTTCCTTGGGAGGGCGTCTCCATTCCTCCTCCCTAGAGTGTCTGACATCATCCTCAGGGTGTCGCCTGAAATGCTCCTCTCGAGGGCGCCTGAAGTCCTCTGGGGGGTGTCTCTCAGGCTTAAAATCTCCCTGTGAATGCCTGAAACTGTCTGGTTTTCTCACGTCCTCAAGCTGTTGTCTAAAGTTTTCAGAAGTACTGGCAGAGTATACTGGTGGCTCTTTTGAGTCAAATGAAGTGGAATGCTCATCTCTATCATGTGACTGTGACCCATCTTGCATATTCTCATTGGACCCCAAGGAAAAATTTATACCAAACTCTTGCATTTGTGCCTGAGATATAAGCCTTAACAATACCTCTGTCCCCAAAAATCTTCGTCGGTTTAAGCGCTCAGCTTTCATGGCTTCTTCTTCTGAACGAAATTTCACCAATGCTTCTCCTAAGCCTACACCCTTGTCATCATAAAGCAAGTAAATATCATCTTCCGTCAGAGAAAAGTCTGCAAAGAATTTCTGCACTTCCACTTTTGTTACATCAAATGGAAAATTTCTTATATATATACACAATTTTTGGCCAGTGAATTCTTGAGAATATGTTTGTGGAGTATGTTCAGGACTCTCTTTTTCTACTGACTCTGATCTTATCGTTTCATAGTATTCCATCAACTGCTGCATTTTTTTCCTAGAAATTGGATCAATATGAACTGGACGATACTGTATAACAGTCTTATGCAAAGCCAAAGCAGTATAAAAGTCTTTCATAGTCTTGAACATCACCAAGGCATAGCGTGTTCTTCTATCCTCTTTATATAAAAACGTAATCTGTTCATTACTCAGATCAGTCCCTTTAAAGAAATTTCTTAAATCTTTTTTGGAAATACCTAGAGATAGGTTTCTCAAATGAACATAATGTCCAACAGGAGACCGAGAACGTGTTCTTCTGGGAGATCTTGAACGAGACCGTTTTCGGAGATGCTTATCATTAATTCCTCTTGATGGAGAATGTTCTTCAGTTCTCACAGGAACATCATCTGCCTTACCACCAAACTGAACCCACTGTACAACTGAGCTTTGCATTACTTCTATAAATCTTGAACCTATAAAACTTCTATGGCATTTAAGACCTCCAGATGCATCAACACATGAAGCAAATTTTACTAAAGCGTCACCATTATTTCGGCCATCAGGACGTTTTAAGAAAATTACTTCATCCACACACAAACCAGAAAAAAAAATACGAATATCACGTTCATTTACTAAGTAAGGCAAACCTCGTAAAAATAAGTAAGGATTTTTGGCTCTTGTTGGCCGTGACCTTCTTTGGTTTAAATCATCACGTCCTGTACTATTAGTAGGAAACTCAGCATCTTGATATTCAGAATTACTAGCTTCTTCCTTAACAGGTCCAACAAAACGAGACAGGCTGCCAGCCCCTGATGCCCGAGATTCTGGTCGCTCTCTACGTGCGCGGTCAGTTCTTTTTATTTCTATAGTTTTCTGCATTTCTGCCTTGCTACTAAGAAAGAGCTCCACATTGCAATCCTTGATAAGTCCTCCTGAACGACTTACAGCACGTCTTGCATCTTCATCTGTAGCAAAAATAATAAATGCCTCCCCAATTTCCCCTCCAATTATATGCACTCCTCCATCAGGAATAGTCAATCCCTTGAAGAAGTGACGAACATCTGAAGGGCCCGCATTAAAAGGAAGCCCCAGTAAACGGATGACTACAGCCATGCTGAGCTCAAACAACAGCAATAATGACCTGCAGACAGAAAGGTACACATAATAGCAAATCTTACTTTTTAAGTACCTTAGCCCAAACTAAGCTTAATAATTACTTGCTTCCTATCTCCTTCAACATTTATAAATGACAACAAGGTAGGAAAAAATCACAAAAATATTGACCCTATCTATTTAAGAAAACAAGAAATAAACTTTCTCCCACCTGAACCATACAAATAAACCAACTACTTTGAAGAAACATTTCCTATCACCTAGTCTACATAGTATAAACATCAAAAATATCAAATCTTCACTTTCTAAATCTGCCCAATTGTTGCTTCACAACAAGACCAACCTATTGTAGATTAAAAGTTTACCAACCACAATGAATTTTACATATTTAGAAAAGCCATCTGCGGTCAGTATATTATTTCTGATCATGACAATAAATTTTCTATACCATAAGCACATCACTGACCAGACATAAAAAAACAGAAGTCACGTATACCTACACATACTACTCTATATGGTTTTTCTGCTTGTTTGATACTTTTGTTTTTCTCAAGTCTCTGTGAAAAATCTTTAAGCTCTGGAAATCTTACCTTTTTAAAAAATTTCTTGGAGACCTTTTAATTCTGTAAAATCAACTTAACTGTGGAAAGAAAATGAAATAGAATTAATCCTTGGACTGCGTAATTTCTCTCAAACAACGCCAGATTAGGACATCCATTTCAGAAATCCTATCAAAAGTGAAGGAACATTAACCCAAAAGACCAAACCCGTTGCCTTCAAGTCATTTTGGACTTATGGTGATCCCAGGTTTTAAGAGTAGAAATGCTCCATTGGGGTTTTTTTGGTTGTGCAGAAGCAGACTGCCAGGCTTTTCTTCTACTCCACCGCTGAGTGAGTCTTTAACCTTTACATTAAAAAGATGAGCACAAACCATTTTTGCCAGCCAGGAACCAAGTGAAGCAAAATACTGAACTGTAATTATGGTCAATACAAAATGTTCTGCTTTTTTTCCAGTGGAAATTCATTATCCTTAAAAGAAATAAAACTACAAAAGAAAATGTTAAATCCAAGTAGACATCTTCCAAATTTTGTGAAAACTAAAAATGACTGCTGCTGGACTGGAAACGATGTAAGGGATGATAGAAAATGTTCTATAGTGTGATGACCGCAAAAGTGTGCTAATTTCCAAAACTCGTGGAATTCTACGCTTAAGGTACAGTGCAGTTCACTGTACTCAAATTTTATATCCATTCGAAATAAAGAAAGCTACAAGAAAGACATCAACTGAATACCAAAAAATTTTAAAAATCCTATTACTTTCACTACTGAAAAGATCTGAACAGTTCTTTTAGATATCCAACTCCTCTGCCATTCTCCTTTTTTTTCCCCAAAAACAAAGCAATCATCCAAAATATCATTAAGGAATAAAACACTAATATACATAATAAACTCAAAACCATTTTAAAAGTAAACCAAAATCAACGGCTTTACTTTGGAAACAATGCTAAATTCTACTAACATAGATCATAATTCCAAAGCATGGGACGATGCACCAATATTTAAAAACTATTCCAGGTTTAAAGCAGTTAAAAAACACTTCTAAAATTAAACATCAACACCACCCCTTGTCTTAAATTCCTAAACAGTATTCAAATTCTCCTCAAGCCAAACAGAAAACCTGCAGTAATTACTAAACCTTACACCACCAGTAAATTTACTTCATTTCAAACAACTAACACCTGTACTCTATTGAATAAACTTAAATGACTAATAATAAAAGTACATTATCTTAAAGTGAGAATTACAATTTAGGACTACCAAAAAAATATATTTGTTTTTTATGGAAACTACATCTTATTATTTTGAAGGATATCCAAAGTAACACTATTTCGAGAAGTACTATTTCCTAACTACTTCTTCTGGAGCTACCAACTGACTGAGAAAGCTCTTGTGGCCTAGTGATAAAGGAGCTACAATGCCAACCCAAAGGCACAGTATGAACCAATCAGCCAAGCATCTGCAGAAGAAAAATGGGTATTCTCCCATGGGACTCATTGTCTCTGGGGCAGCTATGATTTGGTTCTAATCTTACACAACAACCACCACCAAGTTTTACATCTGCCACATTAATAATCATAATTGAAACTTTTTAAAAATATTATTTTGTGTGTGTGTGGGGACCGTCAAATCAGATCTGACTGGTACAGGAGGCGATTGTCCCTCCTTTACCTGCAGAGCATATGGTGGATTTGAACCGTGCGCCTCTGCCACCAGAGCTCCCCCATAATTGAAATTTTTAATGCTGCCTATCTAAGTACCTCCATTTAATTAAAATGTTGAGATAGTTCATTGTCACTGAGTTTTTGTCCACTTGATAGCACCTAACATTTCACAAAAGAAAGCTCTAGTGGTCTACTAGTTAAGGACTTGTGCTGCCAACTCAAAGGCAGGCAGGTGGCTCAAACCCAACTGAACCATGGGGCAAAGACGTGCAATTGAAAGCCTCTTACCCACTGGCTAGTCTCTAGTCATGGTTCAGTTCAGACTGAAGAGCAATGCAATACAGAGTTCTTCTACAAAATGGGGTGTGCAAAGCTTATTTCCCCTTAAAATAGGTCATTAAACTTTTTAAACTGCAAATTGCAAACCTATTAACTGGAACACCCAACACTTAAATTATCAATGCCAAATCACTGATATTTACACTTTACACTAAAAGTATCTTTATGGTAAACTCTATCCCCAAGTCTAGTTTCTTCAAAGGACAAAATCCAAGCCAACATTTTACTTACTAAATGCTTCCAAACACAGAAGTTACAAAACTTCTTCCTCCATATATTGCTTTAGCAAAAGCATTTTGATATCTTACTCTTTACATAATAAATTCCTTTTACATTACTTATGAAAAAAGGTTACTTAAGGAAAAATGTAATATGGTGGTTCAGTGGTATGCCACTGTTGGGTCAACCCAAAGGTAGGCGGTTCCAATCGACTAGATGCTGGGGAGAAAGATGGGTAATCATCCTATGTGATTACCAACTCTGAACTAGAGGACTTGGTTCTGACTCAATTACAAAAAAAATAAAGAGACAGAGAGGCATAGTCTACAAAAAAATAGTAACCACAAGTCCAGCATTTCAAATCTACAAGCTGCTACAGAAAGATGAGCATTACTCTTTCCTAGGAATCTTACAGCTTGGTTGTGCGTGGAAATCAAGTGGATTGCACTATCTTTTCATTAGGTAATCTTTCGAGTACAAACCTCTTTAAATCCAACTGAAGCAGATTATATAGTTATATTTTGCCACAGTCAAATCCTTAAAAACGTTTCTACCCTTGAAATCCTAAGGGTGTGTTTATTTATCCCTCCAATTAATAAATACATCTAGGAGGTAACATCTAAAAATGAGTACCTTCTCTTGTATTTACTAAATGCTATTTCCTTAAACAATTCCCCCCTCAAAATGCTGTTTATAAAACATGTAATTACACAAAGGGCACTCTGGTGGAGCGTGCTAAGAAACGCACTGCCACCATCCTAAAAGGGCACTGTTCAAATTCAGCAGCTGCTTAGCAGGAAAATTATGTGTAACATCCTTCTATGTGATTTAGTCTCTGAAAAACTGCTAGGAAATCAGCTCCAATATAGTCTAAATAGGCTGTGTGTAAAGTGTTCCCCACCCCCAACACTTACGAATGCAATCAAAGAGTTTGCAAGAGGTTATAAAATATAAAAAAAAATCCAGAATGGGTCTCCTAGTTAAGGGGGGGGAGGACAAATCCGACAAACCCCTAAAAACAACCAACCAAACCCTGAAACACAATACTCTGGACTCGATCCACAGTCACAGCAATTGTACTGAACAGAGAACTCTCTCATTAGGTTTCTGAGACTATTAGCCCTAAAAGGAACTGACTGCCTCTTACCAAAAGGCTGCAGGGTTCAAGCCACACACCTCATGGTCTGCAGGTCAACACTTAACCTACCATCCCACCAGAGACCTCCATTAAGTTCATGAAATAAGAAGTGCCTTCAAATTTTGCAGATTTTCTCCAATAATTCATGCCACTTAATCACCATCATCATTACGAAGTATCTTCTCACCAAGGTTAAGTGGGGAAACAACGATGGGCGACTGAAAAAAAATTATTCTCTCCTCCCTAATCAGTCAGTCATTTCTCGCAAACGATGAGGGGGTAAAAATAGACGGGGAAAAAATCTTTTACCCTTTGCCTGCGGCTCTTTCGTCATTAAAGCGAGCTATGTTGTTGTTAGGTGTTGGGCGCTCACAGTGACCCTCAGGACCTGCCCGCTCCTGGGCCATCCTCGTCCTCTCGGACACACGGGAGCCCATGGCTGCAGTCATCACGTCCATCCTTCGCGTCCACGGTGCTCCTTCTCGTTCGCTGACCCCTCCACCTTTCCAGGCCTAACTTTCCTGTCTGGAAACCTGGGCTGAAGCGCATCCAAATACGTGTCCTCCGCAGGAAACCAGCTCCCCAGACCCCACCGTGGGGTCTTGTAACCGGCGGGCGGTGACAATGGCCCTCGAGGCCTGACGACACACGGCCGGAGTTCCCCCTCCAGGAGCGACGGCGACTCCACGTAACGGTGTCCAGGGACGTCCAGCGTCCGGGGCCGTGGACTGCACCGGCCTTCGTCCACGCGCTCGGGGGGGGGGGGGTCACAGCTGCCTTCTCTTCGCGCCAGGCCGAAGGTGCGACGTGGGCTCCGAGGCGGCCTCTGGGCCTCCCGCCAGCATCCTCACATTAAACCGGCCCGCTCCACCCAGGTGCCTCCAGTGACGCCGTCCCCGGCCACACAGTCCACCCCGATTCCCCCGCAAGAACCGCCCCGGACCTAACGGAAACACTCCGGTGCCCTCCAGGCCTAACGCGCCAGGGCTCCAACGCTCTCCTACCACCAAACACTGTGATAGAGCAAAGAAAATACCTACGAAATCCTGGGCGCTGCCTCCAGATCCCCGGGAAGCACGCGC